TCTGGTTAGCAGGCAAGTGTCTTAGCCACTAAGGGCAATTCTAATAGGCTTTCTTCTTTTTTTTTAATCTACACTGCAAATACAAGTTTATATTTTCTACTTAATTGCTGTTAGAGATGAAAACTTTCAAACGGGGTCCAATTCCATTGTTGTGAAAGAGTTATAAATACTTAAGAGGAACATACAAATCTTAAGTAAGAAAATGATTTTAAATAAAGTGAGAAATAAGGTTATGGGAAGATGAGTCCGGAAAGGAGTTCATGCTTCGTGTCCTGAGAACTTGGTGGAAAGGAACTGGGCCTTGAACTATTGAAATGGCCATTTATTGCCCTGACTCTTGAACAATGTTATAAGCACCAAAGATTTACCTCAGTGTTCCAGGAGTGTTACATCATCGTTATATTAAAGCTTCTTCTTTTTAAAAAAGAGCATGCATAAGTTTTGAGATATAAGAAAAAATATATTGAAAGCAATAATAATCCAACATGATCCAGCCACTAAAAAGTCCACTCCCAGTCATATTGTTTTTACATGCACACGGTTTTATGTAACATCTTTTTCATTTAATGTTATATTAATGACATTTTTACATGTAAATCAATATTCACAGAAAATACGGTTTTTAATAGCTGCGGAGTGTTCCATATAGCTGGGTCTAAAGTTTATTGAGGACAGTCAAGAAATCAAATGACATATTGCATCAGGCAAATCTGCTGGAAAAAAAAAAAAAAAAAACATTTTTAAAGTGTTAAAAAGCAAAGATGTCACTTTGAAGACTAAGGTGCACCCAACACAAGCCATGTTCGTATACATATGAAAGCTGGACAATGAATAAGGAAGACAGAAGAAGAATTGATTGAATATACTATGGAAAGCCAGAAGAATAAACAAATATGTCTTGGAAGAAGTACAGCCAGAACACTCGTTAGGAGTGAGGATGGCAAGACTTCATCTGAAATACTTTGGACATGTTATCAGGAGGGACCAGTCCCTGGAGAAGAACGTCATTTTTGGTATAGTAAAAAAGAAGACGACTCACAATGAGATGGATTGCACCGTGGCTGCAGCAATGGGCTCAAACATGACATTGATTGTGAGGATGATGCAGGACCCAGCAGCGTTTTGTTCTGTTGTACATCGGGTAACTATGAGTCAAACTTACTCAACTGCACCTAACAACAACAAAAACAACACAATGTATTTACTGATAGCTCTTGTACATGTGCATGGTTACTCTCACTCTGGGTTGACATTCTATTCTTGTGCACATGGGCGTTATAATTACAGCAACAATCTCCGAGCTGACTGACAGATGTTAGTTGTGATCACCCCTCTCCTAAAAGCCTGAAATATGTGATAATTTTTGTTATGGGTAGGAGACTTTTCTGGGTCATTTTTTAAAACATAGTTCCTTTTTTAGTCTGCCTAATACATGAGATATGTTTTCTATGAAAAGAAAATAGAATTGCACTTGATTATTGGTTCTATTTGCATCGTCACCTTAAAACTTTCAATCTTGATCCTTACAGTCTTATTCCTCTTTCTAGAATGTTTATAAGTCAGATCTCCAGTGGCTGAGAGGCATTGGCTGGGTCCCCATTGGGTCTGTGGATGTGGTCAAATGCAAGAGAGCTGCAGAAATACTCAGTGACAACATCTACCGCCAGCCTCCAGACAAGCTGAAATTTACCAGTGTGCCTGATTCTCTGGAACAGGTGCTGGCCAAGAACAATGCCATTAACATGAACAAGGTGAGCCCCCAAGGCAGAGTTTTCCAAGATACAGAAATGTTACTACCCTTTTACTACTAGTGAAGTCAAAGTTATCTGTGACAATGTAGAGCCACATTTACTTTGTGAATTGTTGTTGTTGTTGTGTGCCATCAAGTTAATTCCAACTCACTGTGACTTTTTATGACAAAAATAGAACTGCCCCATAGAATTTCCTAGGCTGTAATCTTTACAGGAGCAGACATTTTCTCCCAGAGAGCACCTGGGTGGGTTTGAACTGTTGACCTTTCAGTTAGCCTAGCACTTAACCATTGCACCATCAGGGCTCCTTACTTTGTGAATTACTTAAAGTCCTCTAAATAATTTCTATTGCTTCCAGTAGTAAATAAATAGCAGTAAGGCTCAAACCTCCAACTGAATGCCTTATATACAAATCTTGTTTATTTTTCCTAATTAGGTCAATAGTAATTCTGTTTTAATTGACTTTTTGTAATTTTCATTTCAAATGGTTTTCTATCAAGACCTTATTTTTTTCTGTAGCGCTTATACACAGAGGCCTGGGACAAAGACAAGACTCAAATTCATATAATGCCTGATACACCAGAGATCCTGCTGGCAAGGCAGAACAAAATCAACTACAGTGAGGTGGGTATAAAATTCCATGCTGCTATACTTATTTCTTTGTTGTTGTTCACTTGGTTGTTTTTGTTATTGTTGTTTTCCTTCACATATTTTGGCACAAATACTCAGGGCTCAGCTATCATGATGTTTGCGACTCTTTCGTATGAACACTCATTTGTCTAGTCTTCCATCTGTGGGATGAACATTCCATTCTACACAATTCCATAGGTAAACAGAAGTCTGCTGTCTTTTCAGTTCATGGTTCTTGCCAGTGAAGGCCAGTGGAATTTTGAGTAGTTCTCTGGGAATTTCCAAGGGGCAGGATTGCCAGAAAAAAATGCAAGCCCGTTTGAGACATAATTATGCTAAATATATTTTTCATTGTTAATCTAAAATTCAAATTTAACTGAGAGTGCTATATTTTTATTTGTTAAATCTGGTAACCCTGTAAAGAGGACTTCCAATAATGTGCACTTCTTTTCCAACCTGGATCCTGAAAAAAGAGAGAGAGAATTAAAGCAAAGAACCAAGAAATAGAGGCCAAACCCCCATATTTTTACTAATAAAATTAAAGAACACATTTGCAGGAGAGTCAAATGGACTTTCTAGCTGAACCCCAGAATTAGGTTTCCCCACCCAGGCACAAGTGACACTGGAGCAGATGAGATGTCCCCCTCACTGGCGAGACCCTGCTTAGGGCATGGAGAAGCAGAGGACACTAGGCTTATTCCTAGAGGAAGAAGGTGCTGAGCTTAACTGAGCATGCCCAGTTATCCCATCCCTACCAATAAGCTAACTTTGTAGATCGCGGCCTCTCTCTAGGAGCAGAGTAAAGAGAAAAGCCAGCAATAGAACAGTTGAGATCCTCTTATAAAGAGGAAACCACAGGTATAAGGAAGACATGCTCTTCATTAACAACTGCTCATTGTTTTTTTTTTAAAGCAAAAACCAATTTTCTAGATGCATATTGTACTGATACGATACAGCCAAGATTTAGAATCTTATAGTTTTGATTACAATCAAGTTAATTATGTTTTAAATCTTACTTGAATTTTTTTCTCAGAAAATAATTTTTAAACATTATAAGATATTATATACTTGCCACAAACTTTTTGATAGGAAAATGAATAAAAGTACATATATTTTAGATGCAAATGATGAATATGAAACATACTGCTCTGCAATTTCTTTTTCACTTAGCTTGTGTACACATTGATGCTTGCTGTGTTAATGTCCACTACTTTATCACATTTGTATATGTGTTGTATAATATTTTTTTATATGAATAGAATATTTACTTTCCATTATTGCTAGATATTTAGATTGTTTCTAATTCCTATTCCTTTGGATTTAAGTGGTATAAGTCACTTGATGATCCCCCTATTGTTGCTGTCAAACCTTCTGATTTAACTCTTTGGCTTGCTTTTTCTATAGAGTCTGTATAAACTCGCCAATGAAGAAGCAAAGAAGAAAGGCTATGACTTGCGAAGTGATGCCATCCCAATTGTGGCAGCCAAGGCCTCCAGGGACATCGCTAGTGACGTGAGTAGCAACACTGCAGATATTACTATAGGATAGAGTGAGAGGGGCACAAGGTTCTTATTACAACCAAGATAATGCATCTGTTTCCCTGTTAGAGCATATTTATTAACTTCTCTTTCTAAATCAAAGAAAGCTTTTTTATCTGAAGAAACTCTTTAAAATTTTTAATTCCAGAAAACTTTAATATCCAGGTCCCATGGGAAGAAGGGATGTTCTAAACATTTTATTTCCATATACAATTGAATTTGAGTCTACAAGTTTTCGTATCTGTAATTATGAGAAAGTCATCTCTGTATTTTGAGCACATTGCCACCACAGAAATAAAAAAATGGCAGTTTAAAAATAACTTGGTTATATATATTGGTCTAAAATCAGATAAAAGTCTGGCCCAGACTGATCTAGAAAAATGCACTGTTTTCCAAAACTGCTCTGTACCTATGCCAACTCTTTCTTTAAAAAATCACCTTGTCTTTAGTCTTGATTTCATTTAACATGAAAGCAGAATGATATAAACAAACAAAAGTATAAATGGTGAAGCCAGATTTCTCATACCACTATCTCTGAAAGAAGAGCATCTTTTGGTGGAGAATTCAGACTTCTGTAAATGGGTGTTAGAATTTGTGTGATGTTGTTGGCCAAAGTAGAAAGTAAATAGCCAAAGTCAACACACTACCACTATTGCTGAAATTCTTCTAGGTGTACAGTTTTGTTCCTCACAAGGTTTCTCAATTATGGGAAACTCCACACAAACCACAGTCCAGTTTTATCTCAGCTGGAACATGGCATGCAGGATGGAAAATACAAGCCATTCCGTATCAGAGAACTTTTATCTGAAATTGTTGGAGTCAAGTGACTCAATGAAAATCACCAGAGATAGATCTGGAAGGAATCATAGATGGGTGGGTGGGAGTGTGAAGGGTACCTCCAGACTCAGGAGTAGCATTCCCATATGTCAGATTTCTGGGTTAATGATTTCACTGCCGCAAGATGGGGTCGGGGGGAAGGCAGCATACAAGAATAGTTGCTTTTCTCAAAAGTGTTGCTGACTTTGTTTCTAGGGACTTTGTGTCTGCAAATCATAGGACTCTCTAATTTGGCCTGTCTTCCCATCAAAGTATTGTTGTGAATTCTAATCAGGGTTTGGGTGAGAAGAGAAGCTGCTGTTCAGATAATTCCATTTCTCTGGAAGAATTACCAATTTTAAAAAATAAACTTATAAATTAATAATTTTTTTTAATTCTTTCTCTGTGCTTTTATGTTAAAAACAAGTAACTTTTATTTCAGTACAAATACAAAGATGGTTACCGCAAGCAGCTTGGCCACCACATTGGCGCCCGGGACATTGAGGATGACCCCAAGATGATGTGGTCCATGCATGTGGCCAAGATCCAGAGTGACAGGGAGTATAAGAAGGACTTTGAGAAGTGGAAGACCAAGTTCAGCAGCCCAGTGGACATGTTAGGGGTGGTGCTGGCCAAGAAGTGCCAGACACTGGTTAGTGACATAGACTACAAGAATGTGCTGCATCAGTGGACATGCCTGCCTGACCAGAATGATGTCATCCATGCTCGGCGAGCCTATGACCTCCAGAGCGATGTGAGTACCCAAGACCTTCTACATGCCACTGGTGACCGCATTTGCTATAGTAATACATAGTAACACATGGACAATGGTTTAGGTTTAGCTAGAACCCTCAGAAGAGTTGATATTTCTTCTTTTCTCTGCCTCTACTTCACTTTAGCCTATTTTGTTTTAAACAGAACATAATACCACGAGGCTGTATTCATTTAGTCTTCCTATTTTAAAAGACATAGACATGAAATCTGACCATTTATGTTTTCCAGTCTTTTCCTTCTATTTTGAAATCAAGTGTCCTAACAACTTCAGTGATCATTGCTATTGTGTTTGATCTCACCAGAACGTTTATAAAGCTGATCTCCAGTGGCTAAAAGGCATTGGTTGGGTCCCTATTGGGTCTGTGGATGTGGTCAAGTGCAAGAGAGCTGCAGAAATACTCAGTGACAACATCTACCGCCAACCTCCAGACAAGCTGAAATTTACCAGTGTGCCTGATTCTCTGGAACAGGTGTTGGCCAAGAACAATGCCATTAACATGAACAAGGTGAGCTCTCAATCTGGCATAAAATAACAGGGCTGTCTGCCATTTTTAATGTCTGTGATTAAGTAAGTTAACCTTTTTCGTTTTGTCTAATTAAATTGCCATCCAACGTATAGTGATTTGGTTGAGGTTCCCCACCTCCCCGGCTACATAAGGCTTCTGAAAGTACATATAGAAATTCTGCTTTGACATCACATGTGAAATAGCCAGAGTTAAGAGTAGGGCAGCTATTTTGAGTTCAAATAGTCTGAAATCTCTGAGCTATATATGATTTAGCATCAGGGTTCTTTTCTTGATAGGGACTACCTAGATAAGCATAGAATAAACAAGTCAGATGCAAATCTCAGTAATACTTATCAAAAAGAAATTTACAGATGGCTTATCCAGTACATTTTCATTTAAAGAAACAAACAGAAAACAACACCACCACATGGGAAGAATTTGTTAATATAGCCAGAGTACAGATATGGAGATATATATATAATATATATATATATGTAATATATATACATGTATATGCATAAGAAGTACTTGCTTTTAATTTAATTGGATGCAGGCCGACTGTGTAATTAAATATATACATATATTACATTGCTGTTGTTGTTAGGTGCCATCAAGTCATCTCCGACTTATAATGACCCTATGCACAGCAGAATGAAATATTCCTGGTCCTGTGCCAGTCCCGTGATCCTTGTTATACCTGAGCCGATTGTTGTAGCCACGGTGTTGATCCAGCTTGTTGAGGGCCTTCTTCCCCTTTTCATTGACCCTCCACTTTACCAAGCATGATTTCCTTCTCCAGGGAATGGTCCCTTCTTAAAATATGGCCAAAGTAGTTGAGAAGAAGTCTGGCCCTTCTCGCTTCCAAAGAGCATTCTGGCTGCACTTCTCCCAGGACAGATTTGTTAGTTCTATTAGCGGACCATGGTACTTTCAGCATTCTTCACCAGCACCACAACTCAAAAGCATCAACTCTTCTTTAGTCTTCCTTATTCATTGTCCAGCTCTCACATGTATACATGGTGATTCAAAATACCATGACTTGTGTCAGGCGCACCTTAGTCTTCAAGGAGATATCTTTGCTCGTCAGCACTTGAAAGAGGCCTTTTGCAGCAGATTTGCCCAGTGCTATATGTTATCTGATGTCTTGACTGCTGCTTCCATTGGTGTTGATTGTAGAACCAAGTAATATGAAGTCTTTTGATAACTTTGATCTTTTTTCCATTTACCATGATAATGGTTATTGGTCCAGTTGTGAAGATTTTTGTTTGCTTTATTCTGAGGTGAATCCATATTGCAGTCTAATACCTTAATTTTTTTTTAATTTTTCATAGCGCTTATACACAGAAGCCTGGGACAAAGACAAGACCCAAATTCACATCATGCCTGATACACCTGAAATTATGTTGGCCAGACAAAACAAAATAAATTATAGTGAGGTAAGACCGTTTGCTTTATTTCCTTAATTTAAGCATATTGATTTTGCTGATGTTGTAGAAATGTTGAAATTATGGTTTAATCCTCATATGGACCAATTACCTAAGTTTTGTTTTTTTGTGCACATTACTCTGCCTTGATTATACATATCACTGCATTCAAAAATTAGAAAGGTAAATCAATAAACACAACAATATCCCGTGTAAAGTGGGAAAAAAAAAAAACCCTCAAAGTCAACAATTAATGACTGAGACATATTGTCATTTTAATTTTAAAGATAGGTTGTTAGTAATTATTAGATTAGTATTTGCTTCATAATTTGTTTCATGAGTTCCAAACCTATCTTGAAGAAATTATGTGGTGATGAAATATATAGCGTATATATGCCCAGCATAGAACCTGACCCTAAATAGTTGCTTAATAAACTTGAATTTCTTCCCTTCCCACTCATATCAACATGAAAATTACTTGTTTAATATGATGAAAATAACTTAAGGTTTATTTACAAGAGCTGAAATGAGAATTCTTACTTTCATCCATTCCAAAATTTTCTGAGGACAATAAAATGGATTCTTTTATGAACTATACCCAGCCTCAGTAAATGTGTCATTACATATATTCGCAGCCTAGCAATACCATTGAGAAAAACAGTTTGTCCACTTGCCCCAAAGTCAAGGGTTTATTTGGTTTAGTCAAGAAAAATAATAATTTCTTTCATGTTTATGTACTTTCATTGAAAGAAAGAGAGGAGATTTTCTTCAAGTTAAGAAGACTGAAAAATTAAAGTACTTGTTTTCAAGATCTGACCCTATTTTTCTATCCATGTTAGTTACATTTGCCTGTAATAATGTAGGCCTAAGGGGGAAACATGCTTGTATCACATAACCATGAGAAGTGAAATAAAGAGGATATAATTTCCATTTCACCAGCATTATAAAACAGTCTCAAGGACAAGCCTAATCATAAATATATGATTGGCCTTGGCTTCAGTTGTTTTTGAATGAGCAATTTTTTTCTTGGCCGCAGAGTTTCTCTGTTGAATTAGCTTCTCCCAGGAGGTTTGTCTTACCCAGGACCATCAAGTTAGTTTCTCTTCTAGAGAAAAAGCTTTTAAACCCTTTTTTTTGTTGTTGTTAAATTAGGTCAGATGAGGCAGATTTTTTCCCCCTAGACTGTGGAAGGAAACTGGAGTATTTTTTTTTTAATTCTAAAAATTTCGACTGGATTTACTTTCTTTAAAAATGACTGATTATATTAATTCCCTAAGAGCTGTCTTCTAAAGATTAGATTTCAGAATGGTCCATTTGAATCCCTTCTCAGCCTGTTACCAGTGGTTCTTTTATTCCATGGAATTTTTGCAATAATTTTTTTTTAATTTTATTTTTTCTCTTAATTTCTCATTTATCTGTTCTAGTTCCCTTGGATAAACAGCTTACCAAGGAAGTTTTAAAAAGTAATCCTGACAATAAGTAAAAGTGATTCCTTCTTTGAAGCTCTGTATCTTTTTTCAAAGTATTGGAAAATATGAAAGAAATCTGTTTGTTTGCTCTGAAGCCATGAGATGATTCAAACACAACTTTTCCCACTATGCATAAGGACATATTGAACACATATTCTTTAAAGGAAAAATATAAATGCAAAAGAAAAATTTCTAAGAATAACAAATATCCCTGAGCTTTTATCTGAAAGATATTAAATTGTTTGTTTTTTTCAGTTAAAACATTTGGCTGATAACCAAAAGGTTGGTGGTTCAAACCCACCATCTGCTCCATGGGGGAAAGATGAAGCAATCTGCTTCATTTAATCTTTTTTTAATCTAAAAATAGATTAAAATATTTGTTCTGGTTCCCTAGTGCTGCTCTGACAGGAATATACCACAAATGGGATGGCCTTAACAAACAGGAGTTTATTCTTAGAATTTAAAGGTTTTCAGTCCAAGTTCAAAGTGCCAGGCTCTAGGGGCTGGGTGAAAGCCCTTCAGCCTTGGGGTCCAGCTCTGCCTCCTGCTCCTGGCCCACTGGAGCTAGAAGCATTTCTTCACTCAGACAGCTGCTGGCTGCTGAGGCTGAGAAGCCCCAAGGTTGACAAGTAAAAAGGCACAGTCTCGATGTTATCAAACCACATCGCAGGCCATTAACTTAAGTCTGTTGTCAGTCCCAAGGTCGGCAAAGCATAGCAGGCTGCTGAGCAACGACATGGCTACATGCAGGGTTCAAGGTGCCGTAAGCTGGAGACCATTCCCCAAAGCTTCTGCTTATATACAGGGAGCAGACCACATTCCCTAAGGCAGCTACTCAGCTATGCACAGTAGATTCCACCATGGAGTTGATTACCAGTCTCATCATGGCGAATACTACATCCAGCTGCCCAGCCACTCAACCAGGCCCAGCCAAGTTGACATACAAATTGAACTACCACAATATTTGAATAAGTATGATTATATAAACATTTTATTTTAAAAATGAAAAAAAAGAAGGAAAACCTACCCACCCCAGGAGCATGCCCAGATCATTAAAAAACAAAACAAAACAAAAAAAAAACCTCTGCCAAACAGACAATAAAAGTCATTCGTGTCCACTAAAACCTTTTTCAATCAAGGCACACAAAAGTAATAAGCTCTGGTTGTTGTTGTTGTTGTTGTTTGCCGTCGAGTCGGCCCCGACTCATAGTGACCCCTCCTTGGGTTTCCGAGGCAGTATCACTACGGAAGTAGATCCCCATCTTCCTTCCGAATAATAATAATAAGAAGAAGCTCTGGTACATTACAAAATTCTCATTAAGATCCAATAGTTTTGTACTTTTTATGTTTTAAAATTTTTTATCTGATGCCCAGCTACCATTACTGAACATTTTGATCAAAGATTCTGTAGAAGAATCTTGATCAAAAGAGGGAAAATTCAGAACAGAATTTCAAATTCTCATGCACTCCAGACCTCCTGGAGCCATGGAGGTTGGATGAAACCCTGAAACTATTCCTCTGAGATAATCTTTAAAAGTTAAATGAAAAATATCCCTTGAAATCTTCTTAAAACCAAACTTTAGCTTAACTAGTGAAAAATGTCTGCTTTGAGCATTATGGTCTTTTAAGAACTATCCATATGGGATCAAATTGAAACAGCAACTCGAAAGATTAGATGGGAACCTTATGGAACAGTACATTTGTATGAATGGGAGGGGAACAACTTAGAAAAAGAGGGTAAGAGTGGTTATACAATTGAAACATGTAATCATTGTCACTAACTGGTATATGTAGAAACTGTTGAATTGATGTATGTTTCACTATGTATATTCTCAACAACAAATTATATAAAAAGTTATTTATCAACAGCATATGTTATTTATTTTGTTTTGAATTATCGAATACCAAGATTAGTAATTATTGTAGTAATTATTTTAAAATGTATGTTATCTTAAGAGAGTAGAAACTTAGTCAAAATTTTTGTAAGTGGTTCAAAAGCACAAAAGGCTGAAGACCACTGGTATAAGTGATTTGTTCAATGATGTGGTTCTCAAACTCCACTCTCATGGGACACCTTCGATTCAACTTTTGTGGGCATTGGTTTTGGCCACAAACTTTAGCTTAACTAGTGAAAAATGTCTGCTTTGAGCATTATGGCCACAAAAACTGAACCAGAGTGGTATTTTCTCAATTTACAGAAAAGAAAAATCGTATTTTATCAATTTTGTGTTTTTGATTCATCAACCTTTCTTTTTCTTTTTTATTTATTTAATTTTTTTTTAAATTAGGATTTGGGTGAAG